GTCGTCCAGGTTGGTGGGATTCATCGCAGCCCCCCCACATCATGGCAAATATGAGGTGATTAAGGCCCTTCTCTTTAAGACATGTAGCTTATCTGCTAAGGAGAGGGCCCGCCAGATACTTGACATTCAAGGCCTAGGAGACAGCAAGTCATCCCAGCTAATGGAGAAAATGCTAAATCTGCTAGGGGGGGAAGATCCCCGGATTTTATTCACGGAGATTTTCCTGCGTCACTTGCCTCCCCGGGTACAGACGGCGCTGGCCAACACGCCTGTCACGGAGCCCCGTGCTTTGGCTGAGGAAGCGGATCGTTTTTTCCTGGCTACGCAACAGCCCGGGGCAGAGACGTTAGCTGCGACGCTCAGCGGCCCACCGGCAGTCAAGAAAGCGTGGCGGAGGCCGGACACGGCTGTGGCTAGCCGGCGTGGAGACGCCGGAGACTGCGTTTACCACGCACGTTTCGGGACAAGGGCGAAGAGATGCATCGCTCCGTGCAGCTACAAACCCCCGGGAAACGGAGGGGCCGGCGCTCAGTAGTGGCTCTGAGCGTCGGCGGCACGTGCAGGCTCCTCTTCGTCAGCGACAGCGTTTCGGGAGCCTGTTTCTGTGTGACACGGGCGCTCAACGGAGCGTAGTTCCAGCGTCGAGCTCTGGAACGCTGTGGCAGGCGGTTTGGGGGTTAAGCTGCACAGGACTACCGCTTACCACCCTCAGGCTAACGGCCTCTGCGAGCGCTTTCATCGCTCCATGAAGGCGGCCCTCAAGGCCGGCCTTACGGACGGTAACTGGGTCGACAAGCTGCCCTGGGTGATGCTGGGCCTGAGGACCGCACCTAAAGAAGACCTGCAGTGCTCTACGGCTGAGATGGTCTACGGTCAGCCGCTGAGAGTTCCGGGGGATTTCCTCCCAAATGCATCGGCTCCCTGGTCGGCGTCGGCCCAGCGGGCTTTCCTGCGTGACGCCGCTGAGGCCTTTGCTCGATCCCTACTACTCAGCACGGTACTCAGGTGTCCCAGGTTCCCGCAGAGCTCCGCTCGGCGGAGCACGTGTTCATCCGGCACGATGTGCACAGAGGCCCCCTGCAGCCCCCTTATGATGGGCCTTTCCGGGTCTTGGAGCCAGGGGCGGATCTAGACAAATATTCATGGGGTGGCAAGAGGGTGGCAGGAGATTTTGAGGGGTGGCATCCCCTGACAGAAGTATATGCTGATTTAAATCGAAATCATATCAATCAATTAGGGGTGTAACGGTACACGTACCCGTACTGAAATTATTCGGTACGGGCCCTTCGGTTCGGTACACGTGTGTACCGAACCGAAGGGCCCGGCATACTATGAGAGCTGGTCACAGGGATGCGTTCAAATGTAGTCAGTAATTTGAGGAACTGTCGAAATGGCGAATGCAGATAAAGTTGAGCTGAAAATCCTCCAGCATCATTGAAGTCTCCGGTTTGGGAACATTTTGGTTTCGCAGTTACGTACAAGGATGACGGACAAAGACAGGTGGACCGAACCAAAGCTGTTTGTCGGTATTGTTCAACTAACATTGGTTACGCGGCTGGCAATACATCACACTCATTTGAAAAGGCATCACCCGAATGTGAATATCACCGGTACCAAAAGAAAAAAGACTGAAGTGCAAACCCAACTCCCACTAGCATTTAAGCATCCACCACTCGCAGAGAGTTCAGACCGAGCCAAAGCTATTACAAACGCCAAATATCCTTATGTTGCCATGTTAGCAAAGCGCTACCTGGCTGTATCTGCTACCTCTGTCCCTAGAGAGGGTGTTCTCCACAGCAGGAGACATTGTTAGTGCCAGCAGATCTGCCATTTCAGCAAGCAATGTGGACAAGTTAATCTTTCTTTAAACAACAAAATACAATGACAAGCAAGTCCTAATGTCAAGCTGGCTGCTTAGGTACTAGTACAGTTCAAATACAGATTATTTCAGTTCATCGAAATGCTGCACCTTAATGTTTATTTTACTATATTTTGTATTTATTTGAATACATTAGTCACAGTTTAATAATAATAAAAAAAATGTTTTTAATGTTTTGTGATAATTTTTTCTGCTGTACCGAAAACGTACCGAACCGAACCGTGACCTAAAAACGAGGTACGTACCGAACCGAAATGTTTGTGAACCGTTACACCCCTACAATCAATGTTAACTTGGAAAGCCACAATATTAATATTTTAACTCAATCACATAGGTGATATTATTGTGGCACATCAGTAAAGCCTTACATATAAGGTGGCAGACGCAATTTAATGAATTTTAACTGAACAATAACTGAATGAGTTTGTCTCACTCTTAGACCAGCAGGGGAACCAAATCTATGCAGACTGCTGCAATAAGTACATTAATTAACTGTCTCATCGATGTTTGTCTGAATGAATATGATACTATTAACAATCATATTATTCCTATCAGCTGTATAAATAAATAATAAATAATAATAATAGATTTAATTTGTTAGCGTTTTTACAGGTGCTCAAAGACACTTTACAGATATAGTGAAGAACTGTTATGATTCACATATTCATTTATTATTGAATAAACTATATTTATTTTTTGGAGGAGTTAATGATGAATGTTCATCAAGATGCTTGCTCACCCTCCTTCAAATTTGAAAAACAAGTAATTATATCATTATTGATATACAGTTACAACCTTGACTTTACATCAGAAAGAACAAACATTAAAGAAGTGACTAACTGCATCAGTTAGGGTTAAAAAACGTGTATTCAGCTAAAACATCGCTGCAGTTATTATCCAGTGGAAGGTCCTACCTACTGGCCTAGTTAAATCAAAGTGGTTACTTTCTGTTGGCTGGGCAGTGTAGTTTTACACACCGGCTTATTTTACTTTTTCAGGACTTAAAACTGTTTTTTGGGGGCAGACCCCCTCAAAGAAAAAAATATATACACGCATACAAGGTCATCATCTTAACAGTTTGTTATTCTCATCGAGTCATCCGTGAGCAGAGCATCAAGTTGGCATGTCTATTACAGCTGAATGCGGCGATTACTATCTTGTTCAGCAAAACGCCTCACAAACTTATTAAGATCAACAGCTGTAGTGCGTTTTGATTCAATGCTGAGTACAGCCACACTGACAGTCTCTTCTCTGTCAGTGTAGACAGCAAATACCTCATTCCTTCAGTGCTTGGGTCCGAAAGGCTTCTCGTTTTGCGCCGTCCTGTTCAAATGAATTCGCCACCAATCATATTTCCACTCTCGGGCCAGGACCGGGGGAGGGGTTACATGACGTGCATCTTGTGCTGCATTCACTTGCACTCGGACATTAGAGACTTTCTCTCATAAATGTCCGATGAGCCACAACTTTTCTTTCAAAACAAAGATGCCAACTGGGGTGGCAGCTGGGGTGGCAAGGCTATTGTTTAGGGTGGCAGTTGCCACCCCATGCCACCCCGGTAGATCCGCCCCTGCTTGGAGCACGGGGACAAGCACCTGGTGGTCGACCTGGGTGGCAAGGCCGAGCACGTCTCGGTGGACCGGGTGAAGGCTGCTCACCTGGACTTGGACCAGCCTGTGGTGCTGGCTCGACCTCCGCGACGGGACCGCCCCCCGGCCGCCCCCCGGCCTCGTCCCCTGTCACGGATTTAAGACCTGTTGTTCCGGTCCCTCCCCTTCCGGGGGCCGCACAGGCGGGAGTCACTTTTCCGACTCCCGTGCTCAGGAGTCGTGGGGGTCGGCGTGTCGTTCCTCCCCGCCATGCTGATTTTGTTTATGTGTGAATTCTGGGGGGGCTTGTGTGGTGACACTTTATTGGACATAATTCACCTTGCTTATTGTGTTGCCACACGGACCCTTTAGTGGGGAACACCTGTAGCTTTAGCTGCCATTCCTGCTAGCTCATCAGGCAGAGCAGTGCATGTGTTAACCTCTCTGAAAGTAATGGATAATAAAGATTGGAACTCCATTCTTAATACACCGCCTCCGACTCTCTTTTCACGGCACTACAGTGCAATAATTATTTCATGCTAAATGAAGCTCTGTTGGATATCACTAGATCCTGTTGCAGCGTAATATAAGTACATAACGATTGATGTGTACATTAGCATCATTACTAGCTAGCCGCTAGCTGCTAACTGCCGCCTCGTTCATATCAAATCCATGATAACACACCAATACCATGCTGTCATGAATGCGCGGTGCTGTTACGTGTACGCAAATTGACGTGCTTGATGTGAACGAGCATTTTGGTTAAAGTTGCGCATGCTCTATGAGTGCACATACGGGTACTTCTCAGGCATGCTGGGTAATCTGACGTTTCACTCTCTCAAAAGTTGGGCCATTTTATCATCATGCGCTAATGAGCAGCTCTCATAGGAATGAATGAGGCCCCGCCTCCCACGCTGTATCCAGTTCTTATTATACATCCATGGAGGGAACCCATGCGCAGCTTACTTCCGGGTTTTGGGACGCGTCTCTCGTCTCCTCTTCACACGCCATACTTTTCGCGGCACACATACTTACAGCCAATCAGCTCTGAATTAAGTGAGATGATGTATGGTGGGGATGGCAGCTCAGTGCCCCTATGGTCATTATTTGTTTGCCACACACATTAAATAGGACAATACTCTGAGAATGCGCATTGTAGTTTTTAAAGTCACCGTTCACTTAGACAGTGAGAGAGAGGGGCATGATCGGGTTTTGTCCCACATGGCCCTAAACAGCTCAATAGGCACACACTGTATACACTAATTAGAACACAGACTAAAACAGAAATGTACAGACGAATCAGATGATTAAACATGATCTTAAAATATATTTCATATATATTTTTGTAATCACTATTTTTAATACTTTCTGCTGACACTAGGTGGGGCTGTGCCCTAATGACCAGTTGCCACTGTCCATGGCAGACTCCATGCAATCAAAAAAATAATTAAATAAGAAATTCCCTTTTTTTCGCCAATCTTCCCCACTCTGTTGTTCTAATTCCCGATAGTTCATAACCACACAACATTCACCATGTTTTCATTGACACACACGCACTGCCATAGAAGGGGAGAGGGAGGGTTTGGAATACACGTGAACTTTCGCGGAGTGCGCAAGACAGAAGGTGCTTAGTGTGCAAGCGAAGCAGCAGCTGAGGAGTGAGGAAGACTGTCCACAGATTCCAGAAGGACTGAATGCAGCACTGCTGGTGAGTCTTGACATTTTAAATAAACTTTGTGATTTGACAACAAGCTGTATTTATCTTATAAAGCAGCAGCCTAACTTTCATAATGAGATTGTCACTACAAACTGTCTTACCTATTCCAGCAACTCTTTTTTTTTACTGTAATCAGTAAACTAATCTAAATGTTACACTATACAAATAATCTTACCTTATTACCTTCTGTTACTTTTGGGTCACCTCAATATCAACTGCAATGCAAATAATAACAAAAGAAAGATATATCAATAAAGGGACTTTCTTAACATCCTGTTGTGTGTGTGGTGTGTGTGGTGTGTGTGTGTGTGGGTGTGGTGTGTGTGTTGTGTGTGTGTGTGTGTTGTTGTGTTGTGTGTTGTGTGTGTGTGTGTGTGTGTGTGTGTGTGTGTGTGGTGTGTGTGTGTGTGTGTGGTGTGTGTGTGTGTGTGTGGTGTGTGTGTGTGTGGTGTGTGTGTGTGTGTGTGTGTGTGTGTGTGTGTGGTGTGTGTGTGTGTGTGTGTGTGTGTGTTCTATCTGATCCGGATGGTTACTAATTCCTTTTCTTTATGTCGGTAATTTTTGACCGGGAACACCATGGGTGTTACAAAGTTGACTAAATCATCCAAAATTCAATGAAAGTGGTGATCAGCAATTTTATATGATCAATGTCTATGTGAAGGATATCTTAAAGCCTTAATGCAATCGAATGTAAAACAAAAAAGTTATGATTCATGAAAGTAGTAAATCGGTCAGATTTGACCCGACGACAACAGAAGGGTTAATATTATAATGCAAGACAAAAGAATAATGTACGCTTATTATAGAAGAAACGCACATTTGTTGTAAAAAAATGCGTCCTCTTTGTTCTGTTTTTAAGAAAAACTGCCTGTCATTACAATGAAACATATTACATTATAACAATTTTTAAAAAAACATGACCACATCGTACAGTTTGAAATAGCAAATATCTTTGTTTAGCAAATAAGAAACTTCATGTTTAAAGAGCCTGTGACACGAGTTTCCCCCATCATCCAAACCCATCAATTTGAGTAAATATTGTCCCCTTGAAAACCGTTACTGAACTGATTTTGGATATTTGTACTTTGATAACCATTAATCTGCCCTTCAATGTTGACCATTTTCTGGATCTTCTCGGGGATTCTTCAAGTCCCGCCAAATTATGTGTGACGTCATTGCGGGCACAGCGCTCCAGCTGCACCGTTCAGGATCCCAGCATCTGCATGTAAACGCACAATGACGCACACAGCAGCAAGCTCAGACAGCGATGACAGTTTCATTTTGAACGTGTCTGAGAGCTCATATGAGGCTGAAGGATCGCTTTATGTTGTATCTGTTAGAAGTTTAGGAATTAGGTGCGTCAATATGGGCGATCATACGGTCATGTAGCCAGTGGTGGAATGGGACTAAAAATCATCCCGGGACTCTCGACCGGCCCACTTCGGTACCGCTAGTAAATTGTCAACGGGGGGGAGTGGGGGATGTGCTAGTGACTTATCCGACCGTCCCACTTCGGTACCGGCCCATCGGGATTTTTGTCCCGATGGCCAGTCCGCCACTGCACCCAGCCCACGTAAACTGTCAATGGGGGAGCCTCGCTGCGGGGAAACGGTGGACCTAGTGTCCCGATCGTAGTGGGAATAATAATAATAATAATAATAATCCATGCATTTTACCCATTAATTTCCCCAACATTGTGGTAAAAAAACCACACGTTTAATCCATGTTGGTGTACTACAACTACAAAAAGCATCGGTTTGTTTTCTCATCAGGAAATGCAGACCGGCTCAAACAAACGATTTTTAAATCATCATCCTCACGATCATTTAATGTATCATATGTTCGCCGAATTGACATGAAAGCACTAATAAATGTAGTTTCATCCACTTGAGTTTACAACTACAAAAATAATCGATTTGTTTTTATATCACATCCTACGGGAGGAAATTCAGCAGCTCTCACTACCGATTTTTAATCCTAATTTAATCATCATCTTCACCACGATCATTTATGTTTATGTTCACCGAATTGACATGAAAGCACTGACAAATATGAATATACTGTAGTCAACTTCATTAAAACGTTATTAACGTGCCTAAACTCAGTAATTCACAATTTCTACGCATGACAACACACTTTGTCCGTGTTTGGCTCTCTCGCAGCACAGTGAAGCGTTCCCGCATTGACGTCACTTCCGGCTTCCCCCAAAACTTCAAAATGAGTCGAAGGAATTTCCCCGCGATGTTCGAAATTATTGATATTTATCGGAACGGTATCGCACCTTCTTTTTTAAACTGACGGTTCGAGATGACTAGTAGCCCAATATTTCATTGCACAACAGTTGTTGGGATGCTGTCACAGGCTCTTTAAAATGGCTAAATGTCCAGGCAGGCAGTTAAAGCATGCTTTGAACCATAGGCCAGGGTGATGGACTGGAAGACTAGCTATTTCACTTGGTGTTTTGAGACTGGTAAGGTGCTTTAATCTGTAAGCATTTGCATTGTAAGACTGTGTTGTTGTAACCTATTGTTCTTCAATTTAAAATGTATTTTAACATTATAATCCTGCTAATCCCCATTTAACATAACAATTATCAGTAATCCGATTATGTTAGGCAATACAGTTTTTTTTACACCTTCTGTATGAGCATTTCACCTGTTTTAGTTCTTAAAAATGTGTGTAAACATTACATAACAATGTGTTTATGATATCCTCCTGCTGCTCACTGTTGAATTGCCTCTAATTCACTCTGACAGATCAACCAAACATCCGGATCCACCAGTAAGGCAGAGGGAATCAAAGTAAAATAATGGAAGAACAATCTGCAGACTTCGTCCTGGCTGACTACGCAGTCTTCGCTGCCATGTTGTCCGTCTCTATGGGCATCGGACTCTTTCAGGCCCTGAAGAAGGGGTCAGGGGAAGCCACTGCTGATGACTTCTTCACGGGGGGTCGGAGCATGCCGGCAGTGCCCGTCGGTCTGTCGCTCTGTGCCAGTTTTATGTCAGCAGTCCAGGTTCTGGGCGTTCCCGCAGAGGCTTCTCGCTATGGCTTTAAATTCCTCTACATGTGCCTCGGACAGAGCATCAACTCTGTGCTGACAGCTTACCTCTTCTTGCCAGTTTTCTTTCGACTGGGCATCACCAGCACCAATCAGGTTCCAGCTATTACCCCATTCGTTGTCATTAAATGCACAGGGACAACATTTAGACCAAGATCAAAATAGTTAATGTGACCTGTTTGCAAAGATGTAAAGATTTTAATAGTTTTTTATTAAGAAATATTATATTTATTTTTGGTGTTAGTATTTCAAGGTTTTTGGACCAAGCAATATAAAAAGCAGGCGCCTAAAGGGAATTATTTGGGATAAAACATTTCTATATTAGGTTTTTTAAATAATGAGCACCATAATATTAAGTATTATATACGTTTTTAATATCCAAAGTATTACAAAGTATTTCTAACAAACCATTGTGAAGAAAGAGGGTCAGGATTTCTGTCACAATGTTGAAATGCACCTGCGGGTCTGATGTGTGGGATGAATATAAGAGGTGAGGAAGGATGAGGGAAGATACTCTGTTGTGTTGTAACTCCAGCTGTCTGTCTTTCAAAGTATCTGAAGATGAGATTTGGTCGAGGGATGCAGCTGTTAGGGAGTGTCCAGTTTCTGGTGGCGACGGTAAGAAAGAGATCACTGTGTTTGCTGTGTTTTTAAGCAAGCATAACCAGTCAAACTGTGTCACAGTGTTTGCTTATGTCATTATGTCTCCTTTTTCCCAGCTGCTTTACACAGGGATTGTCATCTATGCACCCGCTTTGATCCTCAACCAAGGTAGGAGAGAACACCTGATGCCCCTGTCTGTATGCATTAATGGGATTTGTACAATTAAATTACACAAAAAAACTAATTTTTTTTTGTTTTGATCACTGGTTATAATCAAGTAATGTTATATACATTATACTGAAATTTGCCCTTCGGCTAAATGGATACATTTACTTTTGGTATTTTAAGTATATTTTGATGCCATTATAAATAATACTGATTGAAATGACGATAAGTTTGCTCATCAAAATGACTATTGTCCTAGTGTAATTGCTAATCAACAACCACACCAAAGTTATATGTTCATCCAAATGTTGAGCATATTGGTTTCAATGTTTAAAAACTGTTTTTTTAAAGAACTTTCAAATTCACACATTTTGAAATATTTGATTACAAATATTCAGTTATCAGAGTGAAGGCTGTTCAAACACTGTTAGTGATAGTAATTTTCTATAATATAGGCTTCAAGCTGGTAAATTGAAGTGATATTCCACATTAAAACTTTGTCATTGTTGTTTTGTTATTTTTAGCTACTGGACTCAATCTGTGGGTGTCTCTGTTTTCTACTGGGATCATTTGCACCCTGTACACAACAATGGTAAGGAAATATCTGTTTTCCATCTGATCAAATGTGCATATCACTTAGAGGAGTTGGTTTGGCAGGACTGGTTTCTGTCAAGACCAAATGTGGACATTTTTTGTACATTTTGTGGGAAAACTAAGCCAGGGTCCAAGGGTCCTCCAAACATTTAATTTCCTGCATACTGATGAATTTGTATTCATTAATCTATGGTGGAAATGTCTTTATTTATACAATGGAAAACACATAATTCAGGCACCAGATGAAAATGTAAAATTGATAAGGCTTTAAAGGCATATACTATATTTGCTTTTCAATATTTATTCTCTACACCTGCAGGCATGATTAACTCTTTCCTCCTCTTTTATGTAATTAGTTTCAGGTAGTAACTTTTACCAATGTGCATATGGCATTCATTCGCGTCAATTAAAAATAAATGCGTTTTACTTCATTTATATACCCAGTCAGAGTCAGAGGAAAGACACCTGGTGACTGTATGACTCATATTTGTTTTTGTAAAATGTGTTGTGGTGTGTTTTCCTGTCTGTCTTTTCCCTCTGTCTGTAACAGGGGGGCATGAAAGCTGTGATCTGGACTGATGTGTTCCAGATTATTGTCATGTTGGCCGGCTTTATAGCCATTTTCATCCATGGCACAGTTCTGGTTGGTGGTCCTTCAGTGGTGATGGAGATCGCTAAAAATGGATCCCGCATTAATTTTGATGAGTAAAAACATTTATATTTATTTTCCCGTCTATCTTATAACAGATATGTGCCACAAATAAGATGCTTACACCATTAAACCTTATTATAATAATAGGACCTTTTTTGCAGTAGTCTCAACTACCTTTACATTATGATGCATCAATTTAAGATTTCTTCAGGCTGTTAGAAAAAAAAGGAAGAAATCATACTTGATACCACTAGTATTGTTCCATCCATATTCAGTTTCTTAACCTGACCAAAAACGATCTATCAGTGTTTATTTTCTATCAGTTTCAGCATTGACCCGCGACAGCGCTATTCCTTTTGGAGCCTGTCTGTGGGGGGTGCAATGGTTTGGCTGTCCATGTACGGGGTGAACCAAGCTCAAGTCCAGCGCTACATCTCCTGCAGATCAGAAAAAGATGCCCAGTGGTGAGTTAGGACCTGTTTATCATTCAGATAAAGAACTATGTACTGTTCATGATTGAACTTTGAGTTTATAGATAAAGAAAAACAACAATGTAGAATCTGTAAAGTCCACATCAAACATTCGCACCAGCCTCAGTTTTACTTTTGTTTAGTGTTGAGTGTTACAATAGAAAAAGTTAAAGTAACGTTCCTGCTTTATCAACATGTTATCAATGTCATTGTGAGCATGTTAGCTGTAAATTAAATCTTATTGACAAGATTACTTTAAACTTTAGGTTAAAGGAAAACAGATACTGGACAATGCAATCTAACACCAAAATGTAGTCACATTATCACATTATTCAAAACTAAGAAAGACAGACATATCATTGCTATCTCTGACATTTATCTAGCGACCGTTCTTATCTTGCATGTCAGTGAACACTGAGCTCTTATCAACTGGAAGCCAACAGCACTGCATGGATTATGAGATGAGCTCCATGTTTAATTTAACTACTTCAATAATTACTTATCAATAGTGACTGATTATTTGCATAGATCTAATAGTGACTGATTATTTGCATAGATCTAATAGTGACTGATTATTTGCATAGATCTAAGCCCTCCCCGAGGATAGGGTGTTCCTGTTCCCAGGTTTTTGTAAGCTCTTTACTATTATGTCTTGTTGACCATCCAGGAATTACAGGTTATGTGTGTTAAATATTTAATTAGAGTATCTGCCCTCATAATACAGCTAAAAGTGATCATGCTAAACTGTGTAAACTCTTCTGGCAGGTAGTATTGAGCTTAACACCAGACCAGGGGTAGCCTGCCATGGAGATCATCGACAAGAAGTTTCTATTTGTCTGTAATTATTATTGTGATTTTGCTCGTGCACATGATGAGTATGGATTCTTTCACACACACATACGGGTTTTGGGCCGAGGGCGACACCGTACTTCCGGTATCCGCCATTTCACACGAGGTGCAAGCAGAATATCATAGTCTATTGCCTTAATCAATATAGTCAACTCTAAAATACCACATATATGCATTGGCATGATAATATTATTGTGACAAGTGGGGTATTCACCTGGTGTTTCCAGAAGATAGATGTAGATGCTGCCAAAATCGACCGAAGGCCACTTTCGAGGATCGTTTTTCCATACATCTGCAGGCAGTCTGTAAGGGCAATCCGACAACCCACACAGCTCTAGTTTACGCTGGTAACGACCTAGAGCACACCCCTCAAGACCAGAGATGTAATCCGAAGACATGCAGCGATTTCTTCGGTCGTTAATTCAGAAAAAAAACCTAGTGCGCTCTGCCTGGCTACGTTAGCTAGCTGTTTATATTAGCACCTCCAGGATTTTTGCACCTCCAAAAAAAGGCGTATTTATATATATATATATGGCGCGCGTTGCATTGTGGGTAGCTCGTGACGTCACTGTGTGTGAAAGAATCTCTGGATCTGCTATGCTATTACGGTTAGGAGCCGTAACTTACGGCTCCTCTGAGTCCCCACGAGTCTGCAGGAAGTTTTACTGATCCGCGTCCCCTCCCCTGAGCCAAATGATAACTTCTGGAAGCTATCCTACTTGCTAAAGGGTAGGCAGATGGACTGGGGTACGTTGTAATGTTATTTTACATGTTATAAAGAGAGTAGCGAGTGACGCAATTTATAGTTTTAATTTGTACGTCACACAAGGTGTAGGACTCAAAGGACTCGGGTTAATGGAGAGGGGAGACTCGTCACGACCAGCTCATTTCTAGGATCCGGGTTAATGATCCGGATGAATCAGGACTCGCCCATCTCTATATTACGCTGACGTTGTCCGTGTCAACAAGAGTGACAGTCCGCACACACACAAAACCGAAATTATGGCAGAAGCAAAAAAGCCCAAAATATATAATTTTCACTCCGAGTGGGAGGATGATTATTTTGGTATCTATTCCAATTCAAAGTCCATCTGTCTCATCTGCAATGCGAGCGTGGCTTTATCGAAGAAGGGTCATTTAGGAACGGCATTTCAAAACAGTGCACAAACGCTACGAGACGGAATTCCCTCCTAATTCTGCCCTACGCTCCCAAAAGGGGAGGGACCTGAAAGGACAGCTAAATGCACAGCAGTCCATTTTCACCAGGCCCAACAACAAGAGCAAGGCTGCTACCAGAGCATCTTATCGTGTCAGTCACGTTCTTGCAAAAGACATGAAGTCTTTCAAAGACGGCGAAGTTGTAAAAGAAGCTTTCCTGAAGGCTGCCGACGCGCTTTTTGGGGACAGTAAAAATAACAGTAGCATTTCAACAGGTTTTTGATATAATAAAAACTCAAGTTAGATACCGTTATTAATCATCTGTAAGTTTTAGTTTGTTTGAACTTATTCATTATAATTATTGTACAAAATGGTATAAGAATGCAAACTTAAATTGAATATAGTCTATTATCAATTCAGGTTAAGAAACTAGTGTTGCTGGCATCCTATTTTAAAGGCATTTCTTTTTATACTCTACTAAAATGCAACAAAAAAAGGTTGATTCTATTAATTTTGTCTTTTTTATTGCACTTTGGCAGCAGATTCCTGCGGAGCTTCAGATCTGAGTTGTCTTATTAGTAAGCCTAATTTATACTTTTGTAGCAACACTATTTTTATATAATGGCAAAGAAAGGGTTCAGAGTCTTTTCTTTTTTTCCTGTGTCATATGTGGCAGCACTGTTCAATGTTTCTTGAAAACATTACCCACTGTAGTGACGTGTGAATAAACTCCAACTCTGTATCAACAACACTGTTGTGTAACTTCAGTTAAATACTTGTATGTGTGTAGATTAGAAAGAGGTAAGATAAAGGATCTGCAGTATTTTATGAAGTATTCATCGTACAGAGGTCAGTTTTATACAAGTGGTTGTAGGCTGTCAGTAATGGCTACGCCTCTCTATTTGGACTGGTAGATCTCGGCAGACTGGCAACTTTAAAAGTAGCTCTCAGTTCAAAAAAGGTGGGGCACCCCTGGTGTAAATGGTCTGCAAAGTCACAAACCCTCAAAGTACACCCTGGAGCGAGTAAAACCCTAACACAGAAAATACCTGTCTATGCTGCCCCAGAACGCCTCGTTGGAGATTTATCTTTTTCCATTGTTTTCTTCCTGGGTACAGTGACGTGCCCATACTCAAGGGCTAAATCTAAAGTCCACACAAGTGAGTAAATAATAGAAGTCTGGTAATGAAATTTTCTTTTTGATTGCAGGGCGCTGTTTGTGAACCAAGTGGGTCTGTGCCTCATTGTGAGCAGTGCAGCCACCTGCGGCATCGTCATGTTTGCCTATTACATTAACTGTGATCCACTGAAGTCTGGGAGGATCTCTGCCCCTGATCTGGTACTCAAGACACTCATATTGATGCCTGACCAAAGCATGATGCTGTTTAGCGTACAATTAATACCTGGTCTTTAAAGTTGTTCAAAGAGAGTCTGTACCTCTAAAATGTAAAATGTTTACTTTGGCTGTTCACCACACCGATGCTTGAATTCAGATCAAAAAGCTGTTTGTAAATTTGCAACGGGATGTAAAAATGATCTTGTTAACGCCTCAAGACAGTGAGACATTATTTCATTTACAGGATGAATTTGATCATATACTATGAAATGACTGGAAATAATAAAAATGTTCTAAGACAGAAATTCATTTTTCCTTGTTTCTCTTTATCTCTCATCTCATAAAGTACATGCCGTACTTCGTGCTGGACATATTCAAAAATCACCCTGGATTTCCAGGTCTTTTCCTTGCCTGTGCATACAGCGGGACTCTGAGGTATTCAATCTTCAATCTAAACAAGTAATTAGTATGTTGATGCTGATGTTGGATAACTAGTCACATGCCTTTTTACAGCACGGCTTCCACAAGTATCAATGCAATGGCTGCAGTAACAATGGAGGATCTGCTGCGACCTCGTCTGGTCCACATGACCCAGAAGAAATTGATACTCATTTCCAGAGGACTGTGTCAGTCTAAACTCACCGAAAAACATTCCCCTAATTGAATTTCTATCCATTTGCTGGAATTTTTTTGGATACAAGTCTTATTTTTTCATTATTTCATCACAATTCATATTTCACATTGACCACGTATTAGATAATACCATTTTTGTTTGTTGTATAATTAATATCTTCTCTCTTAGCTCTTCTGTACGGAGTTGGTTGTATCACGGTAGCTGCTCTCTCCTCCCTCCTGGACTTGGGAGTTCTTCAGGTACACTATCTAAAGATTACTTTATCTCATGATGACCTATACATGACTCTATCAGGATCCGAACAACGGTTCTATACGATTCTACAGAGTATACAATTTACTTTGTGCTCTGTAATAAAGTCTAGAACTCTTTTTATCTTCTCTGTACAGGGATCGTTCACAGTAATGGGGGTGGTCAGCGGTCCATTACTGGGTGTATTCATTTTGGGAATCTTTTTCCCAGCAACAAACAGGCTGGTAAGTTGCTTGATTTTTCCTTTAGTGTGCACAGTAGTTCTTCTGAGTCTGTTATTTAGAAGAAACAAAACAATGTACAAATTAACACATCTTAAATATGTAGTTAAAGCCCTTGGCTTTTGATTAACTTTAGACAGATGTCCTAAAAGGTGTGTAAAGGTTGGTTATCTTTTTTCTCAGACAGAAAGATGTGTGCACAATATAACAGAACATTTAAAGAAATTGTATTTCTGACAGAGCAACATCTTCAAATCGACCTTAACAAGATGCTGCCTCATACCGCTTTGCCAAGTTGTAACTACAATATCACTACCTTGTTGCACCTGGTAGAGCCACAAATATAAGTTACAAACTGGGATTCCTTAAAAGAAATGAATGCAGCAGTGGCCAGAGGGAAGTGTATTCATTATATAAAAACAAAGAGAAACAGTTACATAAATTCCTTCACTTTGTGTTATTACTGCACAACTTCTGTTTTATTAAAAACACTTCTGGCACATTTTTGTCATGTAGACATTGCATGAGAAAGCTGAGCAGTGCCTCAATCTATCAAGGAAGCGTTTGATGTTCAATATCCCTTGTTAAATCTTAAGTTTTGAATCACCTTTAGCTGCTGTACAACTGCCACCAGTAAAATATTGTCTTATCTCATGCTTTACTGCCATACGGTTTACTGAGTTGAATGATTTTACATTGGGTGTGTTTTTCTTTTTTACCAAAGAGATGTGAGATCACTTTTTAATAGAAGTACCCCCTCTTCTGTTAAAAGTCATACTTGTTCTTTCAGGGAGCGTTCTCAGGAATCTTTGTTGGATACTGTGTCTCTCTGTGGCTGGCTGTTGGTTCAACTCTTTACCCACCCAGTGAGGAGACCATGGGGGTCCTGCCCAGCTACACAGGCGAGTGTGAACTCAACGTCACCCTGAACAGCAGCACTCACCAGGACCAACTCTCCATCTCCACCCCGCTTCACCCCGATGACCCAGGGTCAGTGAGTCCAACAGGCCTGCACTGAAACACAACTGTTTTTCCCATGTTTGTTTTAAGATGGAGATAGCAGTAAGTAACAGTAGTAGAAGTAGTATTGTATCATGTTTCGTAATTTTAGCCACTTTTTCAGAGTCATTTTGTGTCTCCCTATTGTTTAGACAGACTCTCAGCATATAGTGTGTAGCACAGCAAATTCCAGTGTGTCAAGATGCACTTTGTGTATCTCCTTCATCATTCTATTTTTGTAATGTGTAACCCTTAAAGGTAGGGTAGGTAAGAATGGAGAAACCAGTTCGAGTGCGCTAGAATTTGAAAGTACACAACCGGAAAAAATCTGCCCCTTCCTTCAGACTTCCTCACAGAGCCCCTCCTCCAACACACACGAATGACCAATGAGGGCACGAGATAAGTTTGTGCACAGATGGAAGGCTGACAGGCAGGTAGGCTCAGATGATTGGTCGTGCTTTTTACAGCAACACGGCTTTCACAGATGAATTTTTTTCATGTATTTATTGTCAAGGCATTTCATGTATTCATTGCTATCGGGATGTTAAGAGCATTCCATGGAATATAACTAAAAGTGTTTCTGAAGTGAATTACCTACCCTACCTTTAATGTTCGATTGGGCGTAGCGCAGTAAATAAAAATCCCGGTCATAGTACTAGATGCATGTAAACACATTTTTACTCAGTCCTTTTTCTTTTTAAAAACTAGGGGCCTGCTAAACTTCTACTCTATGTCCTACCTCTACTTCGGTGCCACGGCGACGAGTTCAGTCGTGCTAGCTGGGCTGATAGTGAGCTATGCAACAGGTATGAAATAAAGACAAAAGTAAAAACTGCTGATACACGATGACACATGATGTAGAATGACTGTTTTGATAAATTACACATTATCATAATATAGTATCAGATTTACCTTCAATGCCACCCAACAAAAGTTGCTGTTTTATCAAAGCTCCACCTTTTTGTGATACCGTATTAGAGAAAGATTCAATTCAACTCTCTTGTTGTTTGTGCTTTATAATTGGATTAAATAACAATGTTAATTGTATTGTCATTACATATTTAAAATTGCTTTTCTAAGTATCAACATCTTAGTATTTTAAATGCATTTCCAAATATTTAGCATTTTATTCGTTTTAAATTCTAGAGTTGTTTTTTTTGGTTGCCATTCGTCTGCTTTATCACCTGTTATATTTGCACTTTATTTATGTGGTATTTCTTTCAACTGCTTCATATAAACCTATTTCTCTTAATTTTCCTTATTTTTGTAGCAACTGTAAATATTTTAACTTGTAAAGCAATTTGTGAATTGTATTACATTGTTGTTTTTCTTTACACACAGGACCAACAAAGAGGAATAATATTAAAGAAGGTTTGTTATGGTGGGATCTGAAAAAAAAGCAAGTAGATGTCCCATCAGAGCGCAGAGTAAGTACCAAAACATTTGCTTATCACTTTGGTTCCATTAGTTTTATTTGTGTAGATGCACCTATATAATGTAGAAAAGTAAGAATACAGAAGACTTTCTTTATGATATATGATTTTTATTTTATTTGTTGAAAGGTAACACAGGGCTTTTACCTGTTGGGTTAACATTTTCTCTATGCTTTTCATCCTCTTCCAAAGTATTATATATTTGTTGTAGTTTGCACAACAAAATGAAACACTGCCAATACTCTTAACCCTAAATTATTGTAAAATAGATTTTGGACTGATAATAAATGTGGGTTTTGTTTGTTTAAAGCCTGGAAAAATGTCCAGAAGGTTCCCCTGTCTTCTGCACAATGGATGCTGGGATAGGCGTCAGCCGAATCTCAATAACAAGGTAAAATAATTAATTAATACATTATTACTTAAATAAACAAAAACGTATGCACCTATGCCCAAAACGGTTTAAAATCAATATAGGATATTATTATTGTTATTACTGGCAGACTGCTGTTCGTGATGAGGCTGGGGAATACCTCTGACAGCTGCCACACATGATGCTTCTCATACCGTGTGTGTGTGTGTGTGTGTGTGTGTGTGTGTGTGTGTGTGTGTGTGTGTGTGTGTGTGTGTGTGTGTGTGTGTGTGTGTGTGTGTGTGTGTGTGTGTGTGTGTGTGTGTGTGTGTGTGTGTGTGTGTGTGTGTGTGTGTGTGTGTGTGTGTGTGTGTGTGTGTGTCAGAGTAAATTATTGTCCATTAGCTTTTTGTTTCTCACTGTTTTGAAATCCAGAATTGTGGTCTTTCTTGCAGAGAGATACACCACAGCTTGTGCCTCTGAGGGAAGTGCATGAAGACAAAGCATATGAAAAAGAAGAAGGACAAACAGATGTTGGGAATAAGATTTCACTTCATAGAGTTTAGTTGTTGGAAAACTTAACACTGTTTTATTCCACATTTCTAATGAAAGCTTTTGGTATACTAGTAATTGACCAACATTCAATTTAACGCTAAACTCTTCAGACTTCTTATGTCAGCCCAACATTTGGAGCTTTTTTAATAAAAAATATTGTTATAAAAAAGATGTTCCCTAAAATGGGATTGAATAACAACATCCTTTATTATTGAGTCAAGAAAGGTAAAAGGTGTAAAAGCACCTCCCCCAGGGGTTATTTGAATTCCTCAAATGTTGAAAGGTTTTTTATCAAGACTTTCATTGTGACATGTTCCATATCTTTAGCAATGCACACCTGCACTTCAATGAGTGTTAATGTGGCAGGTGGCCTGGCGTAGACTGTGTATGTCTGCAATACAATTATTTCAACTATTGTTTCAGGTTTAGATGAATTTCATTTCATGTTATGCATAATGCAAAGGTTTCCTCTTAAATGGTGAGTAAAGGGACATGTTTTATTTTTAAATTAACACGTATGACTCTTGACCTTGCACTACATCAAAGTTCCTGCCTGTTATGGCTTTCAACAATAAAAAAATGTGTAAAGCTATATATAAAGATGTAAAATTAGATCTTAAAAAAGCCAACTACTTCATAGATCATTACTCAGTCCACTGCAAACTAGCACCATCATTGTCTATGATATAAACCGATTTACTTTGTAAGGTGCTGTTGCATGTGAACCACAGACTGATGTGAACAACTTTACTACGTCCTGCAGTTACATGAAAGACTTTCTTCTGTTGTAAAATGTTTTTGTGACAGAACATTGTAAATAAAAAAAGGTTTCCTTCAGCTCAACTATATAGTAGTAAACCAGATTGGCTTTATGACTCTCTCTGCCAATGATACCAGCTATTTTCTACACATTTTCTACTCATCTTTAAAGTCCCTTTCACCTCAAAAGGGTGTTTTCTTTCCTGTTGATGTTTGAGATTCACTGTGCAGCATTTGTCACAAGGCCTTTTTCACATTCATTTACTGAAAGTGTAAAGTTTCTGTGCTCATTGTAAATCGGATTTGAAGGGGAGGTTAGGTAGTTTGGAGCTAATCCTGGTCCAATTGGCAATTTATGCGTGATGCGATAACTCCATTCTGCCAGTACATAGTTTCTAGCAGAACATCTTTACGAATGAACAGAATATGCATACCGGTACACAAAGATACTGAAGTTTATTAAGACGTATAAGACGTTATATATATATATATATATATATATATGTGTATATGTGTATATATATATATATATATGTATATGTATATGTATATATTAGTGCTGTCAAAATTATCGCGTTAACGGCGGTAATTAATTTTTTGAATTAATTGCGTTAAAATATTTAACGCATGTGCAGAATGGCCCGCCCCGTGTGCCACCAGTAGCAGCGCTGGGGTAGGCTACACCCATACCAATAAATGGCTTAGCCCCACCATGAAAAATGATGTTAAAGTAAGAAAAATAAAGTCTGCCAACTCGCGGAGTAAATTGCACAGACAGCAGTTAGTCAGATTGATTTCAATAGCCACGGTTTTGAAAACTTTTGTCACGTAGCGATCGTCTTCTCAATAGAACATCTTTGATAACGGCGTGGTGTTGTTGCAGGAAGTCCCGACGGAGAATACTTTTGCTGTAGTACAGGGGTGCACACAGTGGTGGGCCGTCAGGGCCAGCAAGGCCTTCTCTGCTGGCCTAAACATCATCAGAATATAAATTTAATTTTGATATATTTTTTCCACAAATATGTATTAAATTATTCCCCATAGTCTATTCTTTTCATTTCATAGCTTTCCTCTTGGTTGCGCTGCTTCCAGCCTCAGAACAAGATTTGGAGGGCTGGCCTTTATGTTAGAGCTTTTATCCAATCATATTTCAGCCATAATGTGTTGCCAGGGTCCAATAAATCTGCCCTTAGGCCTTCAGAATCAACAGTGCGGGCGCCTGTAGTGAAGCTTTTTAGTGAACGGAAAAAAAACTGTGGCGTTAACCAATCAGATTTTGAGTTGGCGACAACGGGCCAGCTAGCAGGCGTACGATGACGTCAGCACGTGCACGTCTTTTGATTGGATACGCACTATTGAGAGGCAGAGCTATGTAGAGCTAGCAAACTGAACTTGAATTTGAACGAGCTAATTTGTGTAGATTTCTACAAGCTGTTTTTTTTCAACCCACAATGGCTGAAGGAGAAGAGATCGATTTGGTCGCAGATATAATTACAACGCCATTTTCAAGACGAACTTTTCAAGAAAAGCTAGACATTGTGAGAAGAGAACGGCCAACCCCGACGCTAGCGAGCCTATCACAGCGGGGGAAAGGGTTTGTCCGCCACTTTCAAATCACTAACTACGAGCGGTACCCCTGGCTCACAGCCTCCGAGAGGCACTGCAAATTGTACTGCTGGGAATGCCTGCTATTTGCAAATGATCGATTTGGTGTTTGGAGCCACACTGGATTTGCAAACTTGAGTTGTCTAACCAAGGCAGCAACGAGACACCAAAGCACGGCTGGGCACTTACAAGCAATGGTGCTTTTGAAAACCTTTGGGGACACCCGAGTGGATCTACAGCTCAACGAACAAGTGCGACGGGAAACGGAGCTCCACAACGAAAGGGTGAACAAAAATAGGGAAATATTGAAAAGACTGATTGATTGTGTCCTGTTTTTGGGTAAACAGGAACTTTCATTTAGGGGACATGATGAAAGCGCCGAGTCCAGAAACAGAGGAAACTACGTGGAGCTTCTTTCTTTGCTTGCTGAGAACAACACAGACTTGCATTACCACCTGTCCACAAACAATAATTCAGGTAGGACTGTGTCGGACATCACTGAAGGCCTAGGTGTGAAATGCACGGCCCGCCACTGGGTGCACATAACTGGTACGCAGGTTATGTGCGTAATCTGAAATGCGTACCGTCACTTGTGTCACAAAGCGCATTTGCGTACCGACGTACTTGTGAAGCTTTTCCAGAAGGCGGTTAGATCACCGGATGACAGAGTCGGTCTCCGTGTGCACAGACAGGGCTGCTGTTAACGTCGGTCTGTACAACGGAATTGTGCCAATACTACACCACTCGGCTGCGGAGGGAGACTCCCCCCTTCACTGGAGAACTGCGCTAAAACAGCTGATCACAACGTTCACACTCTGTGGTCACGAAGTAGTCCACTAGCCGCCGCCCCCCCCCCCTCTGTCGACTTTCCTGAAGTACTCCCCCATTGATAGAAATCAACACGTAATGAAATAAGACCCCACGGTTTGATGATTGATAGGTGTGTGGGGTGTCTTTCATTTTGACACGCAGAAATGTTTTATAATAAACATAGATACTGTATGTTAAATGGATATATCCGCCTTCTTTCCATTCCCACAACAATATACATAAATAAATGGCTTATTTTGGACATAGTTCGAATGGTGATTAATCATGATTAATTAATTTTTAAACTGTGATTAATCTGATTAAAAATTGTAATCGTTTGACAGCCCTAGTATATATATATATGTATATATGTGTGTATATATATATGTATATGTATATTTGTATATATATGTATATATATATATATATGTATGACACAATGTCCTGTCTGTCTTATGCAGATTTATGTCGTTTAAATCTTTCCTTCTCTTGAACTGTCATGTTCTTGTTTTCTTTTCTTTACTGCAGACAGTAAAGCCATCATTAATCCAAGCATTCATGCTTTCAACAAATATAAAATATATATTATAACATATAGTCAGTTCAAAAATCTCCTAAATCCAAGAAGGGTTTTTAATAGCAAGATTGTTTTATCGACTTTATTCTAAATATGTAAATTATTTGAGAATTGTGTCATGGTTTTTACTGCATAATTAACACTGATATGATTCCAATATGATTTCCAACTGATATATTTACATTATTTTTATTTTATTAATTTCCTTTCTAAGCAGTAATACATATTTTTGGTGATGAAAAGATGGACACGTTCCTTACCAGATACATGTCGACAATAATTACAAAATCACTTCATATCGCATGACGTTAATTTATTGCATTTTCTTTATCTTTCACCCATTCTCACTATACAAAAGTAAGCATAACATTTCCAGACACTCCTTCTTTCAGAATAAACTGGTACGCCAAAATTAAAGTCTATCATTCTTGTTGTGGGATTGTGCTTCAGTGCATATCGGTCCTGAATCCCTCAAACATCTCCATGTTTCTCTGCTTATCTTCTGCCCGGTTCTTCACCACTCCTCTGCGGCCCTGTTCGAGTCCTCGTCCGCTACCGCACAGTCCAGACGCTGAACACCGGGAAGTGCCAGGTCACTTTCGTTAAGCTTTTCCAGAAACGAGGAAAGTAGCCTTTTGTTTAAATGGTCCGTCAGGGTCCTTTCTTCTTCCACCCGCTCCTCGTCGTCATTTTCCCCCGACTCCGCTTCCTCCGCCTCGGTGTCAGCGTCGAACTGCGGAGGGGCCGCCCGGTGGTTCAAGGACAAGCCGTCCGACTGCTCGCCCTCCCCGGACTGCTGCTCCGTCCAGCCCCCGGAGTCCGCTCCAGATTCAGTCTCCATCCGTGATATTAAAGTGGTTTGCAGGGCGGCATTCTCCAGCTCTTTAAGGCGTTTACTGTGGAGGCCGCAGGCAGCAGGAGGTTCATTTCCAGTGTTGTTGTTGTGAGGTGGCTCACCAGTTTGCTCCATCATGCTCTGCGTCAGGAGTGCAGCCCATTGAAATGAAAGGCTTCTGTGGCGCAGACTGGGATGTGTCGCCCCCCGGTGGCCATCCGTAATGCACACTTCAGCCAGTGGAAGAAAGTTGCAGTAAAGTATTCATTTACTCAGTCAAATGTAGCGATACCACGATGTCAACAAAAAGCAATACATTTGTAAATCATGCATCCACAAAATTACGATTAAGATAATCTACGTTTATTTTTTGATCAGTGTTATGTTGACTTGTTATGTTTAACTACTTTGGAAGAGACTACTTACAACACACTTTACAACAACTGAAAACCCACAAGAACAACACAGCTCAGTGCACCCAATTTTTTTTGGGAAATTAAATTAAAAATAAATGGTCAATTAAAGTCGGTTAAACCATCCATGAATATACCCCTTATAATCGTATGAATTGAAATGTTCCTGCGGACAATAAAAAGGTCCTCGCTAGTCTTTTTGAACGCGTTGAGCTTCCGTTGGTCGGTTTCCATAGAGACCATCTATGGTTGGGGCGAATGAACAGCTAGCTACAGCGACAGGTAACAAACATTATTCGAATTCTAAAAAACACAACATTATGCTAAGTTTGTTAGCCTGTCAACCAGGCTGTTCAGAAAAAGTGTCTCTTGTTTCCGGCTGACGTGCTGCTAACCACCGCGGTGACACCGATCGTTAGCTTTTTGCTAAGTAGCTACAACCTAGCCACAATATTCCTAATAGAGGATTTACAACCCTGCTATATGGGCAGTTCAACTGAGGATACATTCACACAGTTGCTTTGTTGCTAATGAAATATACACTATCTAACATTGATATGCCTGTAAACGTTAACTCCTTAAGGATTCTGTTCAATCATAATGCTTGTTGTTTAGCTTCCACCACCTTAACATTTCGATGGAAGTCAGGATTTACAATTTAATGTACGTTTTCTCGATCGACTCTGAGACAAATTGTGCAGTCCTCATCTTGGTTGTCTGTAAACACATCCTCTGCTCTTCGTTGCAGGGGAGAAACGAGAGCATCATCTGCTGTGAAGGAGCTGGCAGGTCAAAATGTCATTTAGAGACTTAAGAAGTAAGTGACTGTAGGAAATTATTATTATCTCTTAGTTAAAAACATGTGTTTTGTGACTATTAATTGGAGTTTCATGACATTTGACAGATTTCACAGAAATGACGAGGGCCTTGGGCTATCCGCGGTTGATATCCATGGAAAACTTCAGAACTCCAAATTTCACTTTAGTGGCTGAAATACTAATATGGCTTGTAAAGAGGTATGCTCATCACCTACATTTTTCAAGATTTTCTTTTTTATTTGAAATAATATTATTTGTTTCTGTACATGATTGCACACTATTTCCTGTTAATAAAATGTAAAGTTGTATTTTGTAATATGTATCTCAGTACAATGTAGTTAAAACATTAAATAACACTGGAAAGACTATCGGACTGGTTTGGTTCATGGTTTAGATTGGATATTGGTTTTCACTTAGATCAGCCTAAACTTTGTATTGAAAACTGTGATTTTTTTCTTTTTATCCCTATCCCTTTTTCATTTCACATAGATATGAGCCTCAGATGGATATTCCTACTGATGTAGATACAGAGTCAGACAGAATATTCTTCATCAAGGCGGTGGCCCAGTTTATGGTGAGCTATTTTCTTAAGCTTATACAGAATGAACAGATTACTCTTAGCTATTGAAGGTCTGCTGATTGTCAGTCTTAACCAGTGTCTCACATGGTTGCAGGCAACTAAGGCTCACATCAAGTTGAACACCAAACGCCTCTATCAGGCTGATGGCTACGCAGTGAAAGAGATTCTGAAGATCACCTCAGTGCTGTACAGCGCTATGAAGACCAAACAGATGGCCCTGGGAGAGCAAACCGAGGAGGAGAACAGCAAATTCAAGTTCGACCTCGGCTCACGGGTAAGATTAGCTCTTCTTTTATGTTAAAGCTATGTCGCTTTATCCTTAGCTGTTTCTTATCTTAACAACTAAGCTATCAGCTCTAATAAACAATAAAACCTTTGTGACATTTAAAGGTGGGGTAGGTAATTTTGGAGAAACCAGCTCGAGTGCGCTACAATTTGAAAATACACAACCGGAACAAATCTGCCACTTCCTTACAGAGCCCCTCCTCCAACAAACACGAACGCGCACATGACCAATGAGGGCACGAGATAAGCTTGTGAACAGATGTAAGTCTCTAGTTACTTTAGCCGGGCCGGCTAAAATGATTGGTCGTGCTTTTTACAGTACTACAGCTTCCACAGATGACATTTATTTATGAATTTTTTGTCAAAGCACTTCAGATATTCATTGCTATCGGGATGTTAAGAGCATTCCATGGAATATAACAAAAAGTGTATCTCGAGCCGGTTTCTCAAACCTACCTACCCCACCTTTAAGTTGAGCCCAAATGCCATTGTTGAAATTAGCAGACTGTAAATGTGGCCTGAATTCATATTTGTATACATTTTTCTTGTATAACTTGACTTGAACACCATCTATATCGAGTCGGTCCCTGTAAATCTGACCCACATGCATGTCAAATCCCAGACTTTAAACTGTGCTATTTAATATCTTTCAGTTTTCTTTGTAAACAACGTTGGTAAGATAGGGTTTTTTTCATCTTTCTATTCCCTTCCTGATTGCTGTCTCCCTCCTGTTTTCAAAATATAATTTATCAAATTGGTGGTTGAGAAGAAAACCTTACGTTGCTGTTAAGCCCTCACCCTCTATTCACTTAAGATTTCAGATCTTAAAGCGGCTCGGCAGTTGGCATCCGAAGTCACATCTAAAGGAGCATCTCTGTATGATTTACTGGGAAAAGAAGTGGACTTAAGGGTAAGAGATCTGTGACAGTGAAAACAATGATGGGGCTTCTTCGTTTTTACATTCGACTAAGATACAGTTAGAAGTCCACATTTTAAATAGTGTTTTTATTTTTATTTTTATTTTATTTTTTAGTCAGTTTATTGAACATGTCAGAAACAAAAACATACAACAATAATATATATATATATTAGGGCTGTCAAACGATTACAATTTTTAATCAGATTAATCACAGCTTTAAAATTAATTAATCATGATTAATCACCATTCGAACTATGTCCAAAATATGCCATTTATTTATGTATATTGTTGTGGGAATGGAAAGATAAATGAAAGAAGGCGGATACATCCATTTAACATACAGTATCTATGTTTATTATAACATTTTTCTGCGTGTCAAAATGAAAGACAACCCACACACCTATCCAGTGGCGTTTTTATATGTACAAAAGTGGTGGGGCACAAAAAACGTAGATGTCTATAAGCTTCTGCAGTGAGGTTCATGGCTGGTGAGGCACTGGCACTGACTCTTCAGGTTTACAAATATTCTATTTTGACCTAAATCAAAATATAATATTATTTTCAAAAGCTTTTTTTGTCTGATGCTTCAATTAATTTTAAACAGACAGTTCAACAGATACCAAACATTTTTAATTTTATCATTTAAATATTGAATTGTTCTCTCTTAGTAAGATCCCATTTTCAATAAAATTGCAGTCTTACCTTGACTTGAAGATTAAGTCCATTTGCCTATCCTTCTGGACAAAAATCTCTATTACTTTTTTGTAAAAGTCCTCCTTATGTTCTTGTAGTTTCAAAAGTCTATCAAAAATCTAATCTAATCAATAGATTTATGATTCGAAAATGATAAAAGTAGGGTAGACATGTGGATATTATCCGGCTGAACAAAACGTGCATTTATCTAACAGCTACGTTTCCCACAGACCTTATTTGGAGCTATTTTCTAAAATCCTATGGAGAAATCTCATTGCTTTTTTGTCGAGGGAAGCCATGCGCAGCTTACTTCCGGGTTTTAGGATGCGTCACTGCAGCTCTCTCGTCCCCTCTTCACACACCACACTTTTCGCGGCACACAGCCAATCAGCTCTGAATTATGTGAGATGACGTATGGTGGGGATGGCAGCACTATGCCCCTATGATCATTATTTTGTTGCCACACACATTAAATAGGAAAATATTCTGAGCATGCGCAGTGTAGTTTTTACAGACACCATTGACTTAGACAGTAAGAGGGAGGGGCAGGATCGGGTTTTGTCCCACATGGCTCTAAACAGCTCAATAGGCACACACTGTAGACACTAATTAGAAGAACACAGACTAAAACAGCAATGTACAGACGAATCAGATGATTAAACATGATCTTAAAATATATTTAATATATGTTTTTATTTATTTTTTGCATTTTTTTGTAATCATTATTTTTAATACTTTCTGCTGACACTAGGTGGGGCTGTGCCCCACCTGCCCCTAATGACCAGTCGCCACTGCACCTATCAATCATCAAACCGTGGGGTCTTAATTCATTACGTGTTGATTTCTATCAACGGGGGAGTACTTCAGGAAAGTCGACAGAGGGGGGGGGGGGGGGGGGCGGCGGCTAGTGGAGTACTTCATGACCACAGAGTGTGAACGTTGTGATCAGCTGTTTTAGCGCAGTTCTCCAGTGAAGGGGGGGAGAGTCTCCCTCCGCAGCCGGTTGTCGTAGTTTTGGCACAATTCCGTTGTACAGACCGACGTTAACAGCAGCCCTGTCTGTGCACACGGAGACCGACTCTGTCGTCCGGTGATCTCACCGCCTTCTGGAAAAGCTTCACAAGTATACGTTGGTACGCAAATGCGCTTTGTGACACAAGTGACGGTACGCATTTCAGATTACGCACATAACCTGCGTACCAGTTATGTGCACCAAGAGCGCCGGAAGCGGGGGGGCCAGGGGGCCATTGCCCCCCCCCACTTTTCAGCCCTGCCCCACATTTTCGCAGCAGCAGATTTTTTTTTTTTTTTTAATTTTCAGTCTTTATTTCGAACAGATTCAAAAATAACAAATAAAAAATAACAAATGTGAAAAACAGAATACCGTATTGTTATAATACAGTATTTATCCACATTCATGGTAATATTTGTATATTCAACAAAAAAAACAAAAAAAGTCTTCATATTAATAATAATAATAAATCATATGTGTCCGAAAGGGAGTAGGAGGAAGCAAATGCTTATTAATTCCCACCCCTTACTTGATCAATGATTGTCCTTTAAATCATTATGCAAGTTATTCCTACTTAGATTTACATTTATACATATATACAATAATTTCTCGTCTTCAATCACCTTTCTTCATTCTCATATTTTTCCAAAAAAGTGTTTCTGTACATCCTTTTAAACTGAATTATGCTTGTGCTTTGTTTTAACTCCTGCTCCAAACCATTCCATAAAATCACCCCACAGATTGTTATACTCATACTGCTCAGAGTTGTTCTGACCTTGAGTTGTTTAAAATGTAGATTTCCTCTCAAATTATACCCACCCTCTCTGTCTATGAACAATGTTTTTAATTTCCTAGGAAGTAGATTATGTCTGGCTCTGTACATGATTTGTGCCGTTTTAAATTGAACCAGATCAATGAACTTCAATATGTGTGACTTCAAAAATAATACATTAGTGTGTTCAAGATATCCAACATTATTGATAACTCTTATAGCCCTTTTTTGTAATGTGCATAACGGCTGTAGGTTGGTTTTGTACGTGTTTCCCCAAATCTCCACACAGTAAATCAGATATGGCAATATTAGTGTGTTATATAGAGTATACAATGAGTTGTAGTCCAGAATGTATCCGGCTTTTCCCAATATTGCGATAGTTTTAGCCAGTTTTGCTTTTACATGAGTGATATGAGGTTTCCAGCTGATTTTATGCTCTAAAACCACACCAAGGAACTTAATTTCATATACTCTTTATGTGTATGTTATCTAGTATTAATTGTATCTGTGGATTTGTTTTATGTTTTCAACAAATTCAACAAATTGTTGTCTGTTGCTTAAATAATCTCTCGTTTAATCCCACCCCTCTGATGCCATACCGTTCCAGTTTTATCAGTAAAATATTGTGATCTATGGTGTCAAATGCTTTTTGTAAGTCTATACATATTCCCACTGCTTGTTTTTTATTGTCCATGCAGTTTGCTATTTCCTCACTTAATTCCATTAGTGCCATAGATGTTGATCTATCTTTCCTGAATCCATATTGACTGTCGTCCAAAAGCTGATGTGTTTCCATGAAACTGTGCCGCGGAAAACTGTACAAATCCCGTTTCAATAATTCCCCTCTACTCTAAAGTCGCATCTAAAACGTGATCTGATCTAGCTGTGTATATTTTGTTATTTTTGATTGTTATATTCAATCTCACTAGCTACAGGCATGTTTGAAGCTTGTAAAGGGAAGATGACAGCTCTCGCCACTCTGCTGTTCCTCAGCGCCGCCCCCCTCCCTCCCGCTGAAATTATGAATGTAAAGTGTAGAGTAATCATAGATAACACGGCAGGGTCCGTTACAGTTTGTTTTTATCTGATTTCAAATAAGCAAAGTCTTGGGTTTCAGAATATTAAACTTGTTTCGGCAAATTCAGATGATAAATAGGCCTACAACTTTGAAGCTTGTGACGGCATAATTACAAGCGGAGAACGGAGTAGCTTAACGTCACAGCAGCCATAACAACAGCCGGTGTTTCTCGTGAGTGCATAATCCAAACGAAAATATCTTCCCTCCGTAGTATTTTGATCATTTGCTCCGCTAATAATCAATCATGATGATTGATGATGAGAAATGATGGATTCCAGAGAAGAGAAAACTTTAAAGGCCTTTTTCTCAAAATGATGACTCTGTAACAGTCATTATATCATGTGACATATTTTGCTTAATATTTGGAGTACAAAAACAATCCTGATATCATTAGAAAGCTAGGAATCAAAATATGTCTTCGGGTCAATGCGACTGATTTCGATGGAGCAGCAGGTAACCTTGCATTAGGTAAAATACAGCAGACACACATAACAGGAAGAATATGTACATTTTAACCCAATCAAATAGGACATTGTCACACCATTCAAATGTATCCATGTAAATTACAACCAATAAAAAAGCTTAGATTTGTTTATTTGTTACGTTGTTTACTTATTTGTTACGTTGTTCTGTGTGTGTCAGCCGTTAACCTAGAAATAATATATACACTTGCAAACATGTCAGAAGAACCAGCGCAGAAGAAAACTAAATGTGACCCGCTCTATCGAAATCAGTCGGAAGTCGCAACGGCTCATTTCAGAATAAACGTGGATTTACGTGAAAAACTATTTTTTCAGGGTTCGGGTGTTTTGTTTGATTTTAAACAAACAAAGTCTTGGCTTTCAGAATATGAAACTTTTATTTCCAAAATCACACGATAAATACATTTTTGAAGCTTGTAAAGGGATGAAGACAGGCACCTCTCACTCGCAATCTGCTCTTCCAGCAGCGCCGCCCCCCTCCCTCCGCTGAAATTATGAATGTAAGAGTATAGTAATCATAGATAACACGGCAGGGTCCGTTACAGTTTGTTTTCATCTGATTTTAATTAAACAAAGTCTTGGCTTTCAGAATATTAAACTTGTTTCGGCAAATTCAGATGATAAATACAACTTTGAAACTTTTAACGGCATAATTACAAGCGGAGAACGGAGTAACTTAACGTCATAGGAGGCATAACAACAGCCGGTGTTTCTCGTGAGTGTTTTCCCCGGGAAACAAACACAATACACACAAACGCAAAATTACACAAACGCAAAATTACACAAACACACGCACACGTATACACACACACTCGCGAGCTTCCCCTCCAAACGAAAATATCTTCCCTCCGTAGTATTTGATCATTTGCTCCACTAATAATCAATCAGATCGATGGATTCCAGAGAAGAGGAAACTTTTAAGGCCTTTTTCTCAAAATGAGGACTCGGTGATAGTCATTATATAATGTGACATATTTCGCTTAATATTTGGAGTACAAAAACAATCCTGATATCATTAGAAAGCTAGGAATATCCTCTTTCCAACAGTGTATACAACTCAAAATGTGTCTTCGGGTCAATGCGACTGATTTCGATGGAGCAGGTCACAAATACAGTCAATCTAAACTTAAATGTAACAACTGGAAGGTCACATCCCTGACATCCACATCTCCGGAGCCTGGACCTTCATCAATCATAGAAACAGCGAAGCCAGATGAACCCAAAAGCAGCACCTCTGCGGCCGCAGAAACTGTCAAAACCGCCCCCGCCCCCCCCACCGCCGCCGTCGTTGAACCGAAACAGGCTGGTTCCGACTGCATGGAGGTTTGTTGTTGGGACATTGAGGCGGGTAACGCTGTACAGCTAACTATCGGAAAAAAGGAGACCGCTAGTAGATTATTTGAGCAAAGAGAAGGTACTTCAACGCAGAATGGTACAAAAACAGAGAGTGGTTCATTCTTTGCAAAATCACTAAACGATAGTGATAAATTGCGATGTTAACAACCTCATGATAACCTCATTTTTTTTTTACTTAGGATCATACCTGTGTTTAGTCTAGAAAAAGGTAAATGTGTGCATTTTATTATAAAGTTGTGTATATTTACAGACTATTGCAAAAACTAAGAAGCTTATAAACATCAGGTTTAAAACTAAAAGAGCTTTACACAAAAGTAACCAAAGATGTTTGGAGTTTTATTTGAGTTATTCATTTACATTTTTTGTCTAAGAGATGCTGATTTGAAACCGTTGTTAGGCCTACATACAGTTACGCATTTCCTGTTTCTGCCAGAGAGAGGGGAGTTTGTCCCAAAGCTTGCTGCTGTATTTACTCCCTCCATCTGACAGGAGGGAGCCTCATGTGTCACTCCACGGAGTTCACTCCGTCACGGAGGGTGTGAGTGTAGGTGTAGGGCGTGGTTTGGGATTGGGCCATACACACGCACTTTTTTTGGCCCCCCCACTTCTAAAATGAATCCGGCGCGCCTGATGTGCACCCCTGTACTACAGCAAAAGTATTCACCGTCGGGACTTCCTGCAACAACACCATGCCGTTATCAAAGATGTTCTATTGAGAAAACGATCACTACGTGACAAAAGTTTTCAAAACCGTGGCTACTGAAATCAATCTTACTAACTGCTGTCTGTGCAATTTACTCCGCGTGAGTTGGCAGACTTTATTTTGCTTACTTTAACATCATTTTTCATGGTGGGGCTAAGCCATTTCTTGGTATGGGTGTAGCCTACCCTAGCCATACCCTGGCGCTGCCACTGGTGGCACGTATGGGGCGGGCCATTCTGCACATGCGTTAAATGCGTTAAATATTTTAACGCAATTAATTAAAAAAATTAATTACCGCCGTTAACGCGATAATTTTGACAGCACTAATATATATATATATTCTCTTTTTTTCCTTTTTTTTCTCACTCAAATTAATAATTATAACAAAGTACAAGACAAAAATATATAATAATAATTCTCAGATAGTCATGTTCAACAGGGGCAAGAAGAAGCTTAAAAAAAACTTTTCTGGTCCTACCCCCTCTAGCATATATTTTTCTTATAAATAAAACATTAGGTCATCGTCATCAGCGACATGTTTGTCTTGTTAGTTTTCAGTGCATTCCAAGCAACAAAGTGATATATTTTTCTGAAAAGGCATTACACATGTTAAAGATAATTATTTCATTCCTTTTGGTATTGATACAATTGTACCACAGTCTATTTAAAAGGACTACATTTTTTAAAGTGATGCAGGATATTACTATGCTGTCTTTTTTTCTTAATGTTCCCACAGGAAATGAGAACTGCGGCTATCGCCAGACCTCTGGAAATCAATGAGACTGAAAAGGCCCTGAGAGCTGCCATCAAGGAAGTTTTGGTAAGTCTTCATCCTGACAATCCTCATTTTAAAACTCACACAAGGACCTGTTTTTACCAAGGAAATGGCACTGAATCGGCCACAATGCTCTTATTTTCATTAATCAGGAAAGTGTGGAGAAGACCAAAGACATGCTGAGTAATGTTGTTTCTGATGAAACCAGTCTGGACGCTAAGATAGAAAAAAAGAACCAGGAGCTGGAGAGGAATCGGAAAAGGCTCCAGACACTGCAGAGTGTCAGGTAAGTTCATAACCCGACAGTTAGCAAACCGGCGTAATAACAGGAATGATTATAAGCAAATTAAATAGAGTTAATGGGGGTGTAACCTTTATTTTGAGTGCCATTATTTGCACTCTTTGCTCAAAATGTTTGCCATTCAGGTTGTGCTATAGCTCAATTAAAATGGTATTGTTGTGTCTTTTAACAACACATAGATTGAAAAGTGACGGTGTCTACACCGTTATAATTGCTTGTTTTAAAACATAAATAATTTTTTCAGGCCAGCCTTCATGGATGAATATGAAAAGATTGAGGAAGATCTGCAGAAGCAATATGAAACCTTTGTGGAGAAGTTCAGGAACCTTTGCTTCCTGGAGTCTCAGCTGGATGAATACCATAGGCTGGAGCAGGAGAGGTTTGAGGTGTGTGTGGATGATATGTTCAACAATGACTCTAAAACACTGGCCATCCTCCTTGTCTTTATTCCCCCTAGGAGTGACTCATTTAGCACTTCTCTTAAACTATATTTGTTCTAACCTGTGGTGATGAGAAATAACACAAGACAATTTTTCACACTCACTTTTAGCTCAAATTCAGTGGATGGAGGAGAATAGTACGGAGCCCCCTAGGGGACATGGAGAAGAAAAAAATAATTATTTCAACAAAAAAAGAAATAATGTTTTGCGAAATCTCGCAAAACCCCATTGCGAGATCTCGCAATACTTTTGCGAGATCTTGCAAAACCCCGTTGCAGTTTGTAGACGGTCCCTAAGCACTCCTCTCCCTCCTCCAGCTGCAGATTGTGACCAATTATTGATGTTTAGCTCGGAATCCGGATGACGGCGCGTATCGAACTTTTCTGATAAAAACGACTGTAGCTCGTTGTCTACCTTGCTATGATTGTAAAGTCATGTTGTTTGTATTTTTACAACGTTATGTTCATGAGCTATTGATCCGCGAAATTCGAATCTGTCAATAACTCAGCTCAGAGGAACGTGCATGTCCCCTCGCTCTGAGTGTTCTCTTGAGGTGTCTTCACTTATGTGAAACCCTTTATATATACAGTCTGTGTGAAACCCGTGCCTATTGCCAAGCACTAATGTTATATCTTTATATTTAAGGCCAAGCTCAAAGTAAAATCGATGAACCGCTCCATTGTTGTGGTTTCTGTGTTGCCGTAGCGGCCAAACTGACCAGGAAGTACATTGAGCTAAATGCAAAGTTTTGCAAAGGGGTTTTGCGAGATCTCGCAAACATTTTAATTTTTTTTTTTTCAAATAATTTTTTTTCTTCTTCATGTCCCCTAGGGGGCTCCGTAGAATAGAGACTTGCATTAAGACCGACCCTCTTTATTTTGGCTTTAATATAAGTGTTTGTCCCATTTCGTTTCACTGCAGGAGGCCGAAAACACAATGAGGATGATGCAGAACGTGTTGAGGGAGGAGGAGGAGAGGGACCTGACGAAGAGCTCCTGTGAGATAATAACCTATCATGCAACCAAAACAATAGCCTCAAAATCTCCACCTCTTATATGAACTCACACACTTGTCCCATGATATGTGTTTTCCGCAGTAAAAGATGAGGATTCTGACATGGACGTGCCAGAAGACGAAGGCTCGGACAGCGACATGGAAGAATGTCGACCTTCTAAGCCACGGCCGACACGAAACGGCATCACGACAGGTCAGCGGATAAAGGCTAGCCATGTCGTTAGAAGAACTGGGCCTTTTGGTTATTATATGCATTATTTCTCTGTTCTATGATTCAGATTGATTTTATATCTCTATTAAAACTCATCATCAAAACTGTTGCCTATTTTTCCACCACAGGAAGAGCAGCGCGATTCGTCGGTAACATGCAGGGGGGTGATAGTGATGAGGTTAGTACTGTTGAAGCAACATCAATACAATATTTATTCATTTTTCTTCTTAAATGAATCCTGATGTTGCAAGCATGTCTTAAATATCATTGAATAATTGTGTTTTTATTTGAATAGCGATGGCCCTGAATATCACCCAGTGCTGTCTCTTTTGTCCTCTTTAACCAAATATCCTGTGCACCAGCTCTGATCAGTTTCACGTCCCTTTGGGTTTTCATTTTATATTCTGTTCAGTATCTTATTTTTCTCTGCCATTCGCTTTTATTTTTAAAAAGCCCTCCTTAGCTGTTTCCAGAAGGTCAATCCCTCGTGCCAAAAAACAACGGAGAGGAAAGGTTTGTGCAGGATGGGGATCTACTGTAGTTTACTCCTTGTTCCTCTGTTTGTTTAAAGGGAAAATCCATTCTCAAATGAACTGATGCATTGGGATTGTTTATACGATCAAATCCGTCCCATGGCATAGTACTTGTTGGTAAGAAATTGGTATTTTTTAATATTGATGCAGATTATTTTTAACATTATTGAAGTTTTGGAAATGGATTTTGACTTTAAATGAGGTTTAGCTGGTCCCCAATAGTTATCTGGCTCTAGGTGGACAATTCCCAATTCACTATTAAATCACTTAGTTCCTTGGTATGTTTTCACTACAGCCAAAGAGGTGTATCTGGTTAGATCTGACTGGTTCAGTGTGTAGTTAAATTAGAAATATGTCCATCCCTTTATAGTTCCAGATTATATATTGAATAACTATCCAGTAATCATTTTCTGGACTCTAAAAACTTTGATATTTTAGTAACTTGCCTGCCCTACTATTTCAGACTGAAGACAGCGAGATTGATGTGGACGAGGATGATGAGGAAGATGATGAAGGTGAGGAAGAGGAGAGCAAGGATTTGGAGGACGACAGTCTCGAGGGCCCAGTGTCCAGGGGTGTGCGCCCCTCAAAGGGCGTGATAAGACCACCTCTGCTGGAGGAGAGCGATAATGATTTCTGAATAATTAAAGAAGAGATCCAGCTGTTTCTGCTTTTCCGCTCAGATAAACCATTTATTCGAGAGAGATGTTCATTATTTATTATGTTCAATCATGTTGTTTTTGCAACTATAGTTCATATTTTTGAAATATTTGTGTAAACTGTATTCCTTAATAAAAATATAAAAAATGTATTATCTCTTTCACCTGACTTGATTATGAAAGCAGAATAAAATACCTTTTGTTTAAGAATCAGTCATATATTGAAGATCAGTATTTTGGTTTTGGGAAATGTTGGTTTAATCAATTCCCATTGTATTAATTTGAGAGGAAAATATGTTTTACAATTATGCTGTAGGCTTTATTATTTTTTATTTGGCACCAATAATGCCTTGTTATATTTTACTTATGTAATTTAATATTCCTAATGGGAAGAAATTCACATTTTTGACATAGAGATCCACATTTTACACTTTATACCTAAGTAGTATTGATTGAAAAGCTATCCTAGAAGTAAAAAACATTACAATGTACAATAGTGCAGTAAACATGTATTTGTTCTCAAAAAATGGTGGTTTCACCTCTTTATTGTGAATCATCAGCATCTTTGGTATTCTTATTATACATCCGTGTATGTAATGTAACCATAGGAGACACTGCGTCATCAGAGTGCGTGCAGGTTTCAGACAGGAGGTGGCATATGCCTCTTCAAAACAACAGACAACTACCGTCTACTTACAACCTGTTTTTCATCTCATACTGGTATGAAAGCGTGATTATATATTAGTGTATTGTAATCATCATCATGTCAACTTAAGCTTGGCTACATTTATTTAGTGAATGGCCGGCTCATTGACAAACAAACATGGCTTGTTTTTTAGGCTAACATCAGCTAGCTATCGCTAACTAGCGAAGGCTACACTAACAAAAACATTGCTGTCATTGTGTCATTTTAGAGAGTTTAAGTATGGCTTTGTTAACCTTCTCCAACTGTTCTGTATTGTGTTTGCGAACCCATGTTTTCAAACTGAGGTCTAGATAGGGAAGTCATCTAACAGGGCTAATGGTGGTCTTCCGTTAACTTACGTTATTGCAACGTAATTTGTTTTTAATTTAATGTAGAATACGTTACAATACTAACTTGCCCTACAATGTTACATATCTATTTTAGAAGAGCTGTTTCAGATTACACATAATATAAAATACTGCATGCTAAAACAGTCATTGTTGGGTTGTAATATATAGGGGATAACACCAAAAAGACAAGCAAAAATATATAATGTAAGATAAGATACGTTATTGGTCCCAATTTGAGAATGATTTTCATTACAGCAGCATGTAAATAAGGCATTGCACACAATGTGTGAATGAAAAGGAGTACAAAACACATAGACATAAACATAAAATAAAAACATCTCAAATTAAACAGAAAAACAGATCTTTAAAGTAAAATCTATACATAATGACAATCGAAGATATATATCTGAAGACTATCTGTCAAATATACACTATGAAGGGCCAATAGCAGCTAATGTAGAGTATGTTTTGAATCATTGTAGCTGAACCTGGCTATATGAGTACTGATCATCAGCTTTAAAAAGAACCTGTTAATCAAACTCTTCTGTTCTTTTCCTTGGCTGTCAGCTGAAGAGCAGCTGTTGGGATGCCAAAGAAGTTCCAGGGTGAGAACTCCAAGGCGGCCACAGCTAAAGCCCGCAAGGCTGAGGCCAAGGCAGTGGCAGACGCCGACAAGAAGAAGCAGGAAGAGGATGCTTTGTGGCAGGAGACAGACAAACTTGTTCTGAAAAAAGGGCAGAGAAAGGTGAACTATCTCATCTGTTTAATTTTCAGTAGTTATGACATTTTGTCACCACGATACTTCTTGGATGATGTGCATATAGTCCGTTTACTTTAAGCTGAAGTTGAAACATCGGATGGGACTACATCTTCGTTATCCTCAGTGGGACATTGTTTTGTTGCATTACCAAGCAGTTACAGATCACAAACTGTAACGAAGGAGCAATATTGTAAATTTACCATAATCAGCATACAACAATTACAGCTTGTTCTATGTATATCTTGTGCAGCCAGACAGCCTCGTCACAACATTACGCATATTTATGATTGCTTTAAGAAGGAGGGGAACCTTTTTTTGCAATATGTACTGTACTGGACATACTGCAGCTATCACTGCCTTACTTCACTCAACTCTACATATTTCCAATGAAATGCACCCTCATAGTATTAGGGTGATTGCTTTAATTATTTGATTGAATGATAAATGTCATGGGGAATCAGTAAAGCTTGTTTAATAGTTAAGTGATCAAAATATATGTAGTGGGTAGGTAGTCTAAGGAGACAGCTTCCTGTCATTGCAGGATGACAAGGAGAAGAAGAGGCTCGAGCTCCTGGAGAGGAAAAAGGAAAACCAACGTCTTCTCGATGAGGAGACCTCCACCATAAAAGGCAAAGCCCTGAGGGAGGCAAGCGAAAGAGTAACTCGTGCCGAGATTGAGGAGGTGCTTCAGAACGAGCTACAGCAACTGAAGGAGCAAGAGCTCAAGCCAAAAGGTACGTTTCAGGGTTAAACTGACCTCAGAAGTGTGCTGGTTAGTATAAAGAGGAAACATGAGTTAAGACACAATCCAGCAGCATTGGATGTTATGAAGATCAAACCAGTACTTTCTCTTGATCATCAAATACCATTTCTTCCTACAGAAAAGAGCCACCTGGATACTCCACTGGAAGAGAATGTGAACAGGATTATCTCAGAGGAAGGAACCGTGGAAGCCCGATCAATAGAAGATGCCATCGCTGTGCTCAGGTACCATTTGTACTGTGTGGGACCAGTGGTTGCGTTAGACTTTTTCGTTGTCCGTCATTTTGACGGACAGGATCGTAAAATTTCCGTCATAATCCATTATTACCCGTCATTTTATTTGATAAAAGTTTTTTAAGAGTTTTAATGATGAGATGAGACATATTTCATATTTATGTTTGGGTACTGAGCAAATGTTCATTCATTCATTTTTTTTAATGATTCATGCAGAACTTTTAAGGGCATGGAGAAAAAAACACTCCGACCGTGTGGTCACTTTTCATGTCAACACGAACATGAATAATTTATTTTTTCCTGCACTTTTACAACAGAGGGGGGCAGAGGCCGCTAAAAACATGCGACCATTGTGCCTAAACAGGCAAATATGAACAAGGCCATCGTTTTAAATGAGACAATTACAATCAGAATATGAACAAAACATTTACAAGAACAACTCAATTGACCTGCTGTAGCCTGAACGCTGATTTCTGCATCGTGATGCACCCTCGGACAAATCCGTTACTCATCTTAGCTTCTCTACAGATGTCGCAGAACATTTTGCCATCTTCCTTCCTCAGCCACTTAAACTCTTGCTCCCACTGAACCCGGTACTCCCGCTTCAACTCCTTGCCACTTGCTTGCCCCTCTGCCGCTGGCTGAACGTTGTCAGTTTTAGTCTTACTGGCTTGTACTTCATCCTCCACCGCATCCAGTGGCGGCGCCAGAGTATTTTTGTTGGGTAATCTATGGTTGGGCTAACCCATACAGTGGTGGGGCTCAAGCAGTATTTGTAATGTAATTACATACACGCTATATCGCACCCCTTGACAGTGAAACGCACGCGTGAGGCTTTTATTAGTCTCCTTTTATCAGCTAAATTACATCGAGAGCAACAGGTGTGAGTTAAACAATACAATAGCCTATTCTGCTAATTCCATGTTGTTACAACAGGCTACGCAGCGGCAGAAACAAGAAAAGTTGGCATATAGAATTGACACGGAGAGAGAGAGAGGGAGAGAGACAGAGACACAGGTAAACAGAGAGAGACAGACACAGCACACAACAGGTAGCCTGTATCTCTATTGTCATACAAAACACTTTTTCAAATGACCCATTATTACAAAATATATTCAAAACTCACTATTCACTCTTCAGGTGGGTTGTGTGACTCTGGCACCTGTTCGACTTGTACCTCAATGCGAGGGCGTTTAAGAACAAATCTATCCATCCGAAATATACAATTAATCCTAGAAGTTCTGCTGTCTGTCTGCTGGAATTTACTCTGCACGAGTTTGGGGACTTTTCACTGTGAACGTGACGAATCAATAATGCATGACTCAGCAGACCCAACGTTTCGTTGCTCTGATTGGCTGTAGGTCTGTTCAAATTGCATTCGGAGGCATTTTGATCTGACCGCGGCCGCGCTGATATTATAACGCGAGAGAATGTTCACACCTTTAGTGTATAAAACTCCCCCACTACTTAGACTATTCCTTGCACCCCTCTAGCATAAGCCCGAATGGTCTCAACCATATTGCGTCAGTATGTGCACTTGTTGTTACAGCTGAGCAGGATCAGTTTGTGTGTTATGGACACGACCGGTAGATTTTCGCAATCCGTGTTCTCCACATGCTTACTTTAACATACTTTTTCATGGTCGGGCTAAGGTAGGGCTAAGCCATTTCTTGGTATGGCTGTAGCCTACCCCAGCCATACCCTGGCGCCGCCACTGACCGCATCAATCCCTCTTTTTTCACCTCGTTTATCCACACCATCACAATTACTGGGCTTATTAAAAAAGCTTCGGACGATCAGCTGCCGTGACATTTTGCGATTGCTAAAGCCGATTAAACAACGAGGTAATCAACGAGGTCAAAAACAAGACTATAATAGCTACTTAATATACACACACTAGCCACCAACTGGACAGCGGTGTGAATGACTAAATAATAGTTACAGACTACAGTAGAGTACAGTAGATAGCCCTCAGTCGACCTGGCCACTAAGGATGTAATATAATGTGGGCCGCTGGTGGGCATTTTGGCGCTGTTCCGAGTTGTGTTCTAATCTGTCAAAATGACGGACTGCTTTCAGATTTTTCCGTCATTGTTAGAAAAAATCAGTCATTGACGGAAAATATTCGGTTAACGCGACCTCTGTGTGGGACATCATTTTGTTACTAACGCAGCGTCGACACGGCGGCATGCGTTGAAGTTTGGTGGGCGACGGCGTGTCTGAAACTCGACCAACAACCAATCACATTAATCTCCCGCCCCGGACACACAAGCACACGGTTTGATTGGCTAGAGCTTGTACTGGCATATGATTTCCGTCGAAGCTTCAAAAGTTGAACATGCAGTTCGGCAAAGCATGACGTCACCCCATTAAAAGTGAATGGGCAGAAGCGTTGAAGCTTCAACGCACAC